CATCAACGACTGGTTTTCTTGCCTTATATTTTTTGACTTTGATTCCACATTCATAACTATTATTATCCAATTTCGCAACCTAATTATTGTACTCAATTTTTGCTTCCTTGTTTGAAACATAAAACATAACCTTTAATTGATAGAGTAAAATAATAAAGGAATGTACTGTCAACCATGTTACATTAATTAGAACAAAGTATAACATTAAGATGAATTTTTAAGTTGCATTTTGTGTGTTAACAGAAGTGAAAGAGTCTAGTTTCACTTTCAGATTCTTTTCTTGGTGAATAAAGTGTGGAAATTTGTTTTGTTTCCTTACCAATGCTGTTTTACACCCTTGAAGTGAGAGGCTGGGGTTTTATTGCTTAGCATAATCTGCTTCATGTGTTTTTTTTCTGGTTAACGAGTGTTTTATTGTTTGTGCTAAAAGTACATTTTCAGCCTCTTGTGAATGTGCTCAATAACTGACCTCCATGGTTGAGGAAAAAAAACTTATGATTTTAAAAGCCAGATTTCATTTGGTGATAAAACCTTTCGAGTACCAACATCAGCTGGGATCATAGCAATATAGTGGTAATAATATCTGAATTAACTTGCAATTTAAAAGTGCAACGAACAGTATGGACTGAGTGAGCATTTTCCACAACTTCTAAAGTATTTGACAATGACTTGACTTCTGCGTTCTGTATAAGTCCTTTTTGTATTCTCATTGCATATATTTAGCAGTTTTCAAAACATATATATCTGTGGGAAATGAACAAATAACGACCACTTTTGTTTGGACAGAGGAATAAAATGGGGGAAGAGTCTGCTTTTAATGGAAAAAAAACTAAGAAGATTTTTAAAGTTTTAAAACAAGTTACTGATTATTACAGCACTGAGGAAGAATTCTAGACAATTCAGTAAAGCTTGTGTGTTGAGAACAATTGTGCCCAGAAATAGTCTTTTGTTTGGCTTTTCCATCCAGACGAGTTGTTGGGTGTTCGGGGTTATCATCATTGTTATGACTATTTGACTGGCTCCTCAGCAGGTGACTACAGCCTTGTATATGGACAATAAAGAGAAACATCAAGTCTATGAAAATTCAGCATCCATCTCAGTCTCTCCTTCCCATTTGGAAAAGTAAAAGAAAATACCTAGTTGATAGGTACTTGCCTAGATGTTTCTTTGTAATTTGTGCTCTTTCCAAGTTCCATGTTGAAAGGGAAAATAAGAATAAAAACACTTTCAGAGGTACTGAACGGATAAATCAACTAGTGAATAAAATACTGAGAATCTGTGCATCCATAATCGTTTATCATCAGCAAAGAGTCAGAACAAATCAAAAGGACTTAAAAGAAAATGACTCACTGAAGTCTGTGATATGGACGAGTAGCAGAACTGTGTTTTTCTGACATTTTCCTTCCTTACCTACAATGTTTCTGTCTTGTCTCTTTGTGTGACTGTATATTTATGAGCATTTTAAGAAAGCACTAGAACTTAAATTCTAAAATCATAAATTACAAAATCATCATTTTTTTGCAGTTGGTTAAAAACAGTTTGATTATATGTGCATAATCTTTTAAACTGAATTGGACAGTCAGGCTAAATTTGGCAATTCAGTGTTCTAATCGAGTTTTCACATTTGTGATGACTTTGAGAATAGTGGAGGTGATTTCTAGTGCATGACTGACCCCAGTCAGTCATGATACTGAGCTTAAAATAAGTTTGGTTAGCATTGGTAGAATTTGATCATTAACTTTAATTTCCATCTTATCAGATTTTCTTGCATTTTAGATTATATGTATAAGTAACATGTTAGTAGCAAAAGTCAAATGAAGCAGAAAATATATTATGGTCTATTGTGAAGAATTTCCTTTAAGCAAAGAAAGCCAATAATTGCAGCATGTAATTTTAAAGAAGAAATATAATGAATCTCAAATGACAAGTCATAATGTTATAGGTCTAGGAATTCTGAAGTAGACATATGTCATCTTCAGAAGGCTCTTCTGATGCAGTGGTAGTTTGGCTACCGCTGGATCAAACGGTTTATGTTCAAGTCCTACCTGCTCCAGAGATGTGAAATCACAGGTTGATTATAAAATATGTAAGTATATTATGTTTAAATTAAATGTGTTGCCAATATAACTAAGTGGGGATCATGAAAATCAGATCATTTTGTAGAATGAATCAAGTGCTCATGAAATTTGAAAATATTTTACTTGTGCTTAATAATTTATGTAGTTGGTTAATTTTCCTTACACTAAAATTATGCCTGTTGTGTGAGAATTATGTAATCTTTCTTCCAGATTGTATTAATTACGTTGCTATGAATGGTTCGTGTTATTCTGTCGAACACATTTACCACTCAACCCTCTTCTCTTCAGGATACTTTCTTCCCGCTCGGGACTAGCTTATGCTTATCTGTGAGACTTTATACATTATTGGTCAGACTTCCTCCATCAGTCTCGTCGTCCTTGAACATTATGGCAGGTTCAGCGTAGCATGACAGCTTCATCAACATCAGGCCTCTCTCACTACATAACCAAACCCTTTCTGAACAATGTACTCATGCTGGAACTAGGTCAAGTATTTTACTTTTTAAAATGAAAAATATGCTTATAAATCCAGAAATAGAAAATCTTTTATACAATAGAGTAAGTATTGTGCTAATTTGCGCTGAAGATCACCTTACGTAACATCGCACTGATAACTGCTCCTTGGACCTGTTTGCTTTGAAGATTAATATCACTGATTTATTATCTGGCTTTTACTAGTAAGCTGGACTGTGAATTTCTGCTTCGGGAAAATTCAGAAAACCAGGTGCAAATTGCACTTATATTTGCCTTCGATAGGCTACCTTTCTGGTTTCAGTTAAAAATTCATTATTCAATTCACAAATTTATCGTGTACCGCCGACCACTGTAATTTGTGCAATACAGCATAATCGCTCTGTTGTTCTGAAAATAAAACTGATTTGAGTGGTAAACTAGTATATTTTTATTACTACAAGTGATGATCAACAAAACATTTTTACTAAGTGTGAGGTTCTCCGTCAGTAACTAGCCTGATTTTAGATAATTAATAATAACTTTAAAGAAAACTATTTAATCTTTGATGTACTTTCCATAATTTTTTGATATACTTTAGTTAGTCTTTACCAGATTAGACAGTTTTAAGTACATAGCGCTTTGCAAAATGTGCCTATTAATGCCTCCAGGCTTTAACAAAATCAATTTTATGAATCTTTTCCAAAAGCTGCAGTTGGAAACTGACAATCCTCATAATTTAGATATGGGGGTGTGGCCATGTCTGTGGGCGGGGTCAACTTCAGGCGAAATGATTTTTAAACCAACATAGATCGTGGAAAACTGATGTACTTCTGATCTCACTTACATTTAAAATTTCTCCATCTTTTGGGCAAAACACCGGATTGCATTGATGAAACCAGCACAACATATTTGCAGGAAAGGAACGCACTTTTTTTTTGTTTTCCTAAACATTTCCATTTGTGAAAATAACCTCGACCTAATCAAAAGGAATAAAAGATGCAAAATTATCTATTGAATTATTCAATAGGCCGTCATCACGATTGTCTCTTTATAAATGTCTGATGGCATTCAAATGTCTTTGTTGTCATTCTTTACCCAGCTTTATTGGTAGCCCTAACCACTGAATATTCAGAATAATGGCCTGTTCAAAAGCATGGTCACCCCCATTCCAAAATGAAAAGACTCAAATTTAACACTGGTTTGTATGAAGCCTGCCCATGCGTGTTATGTGAGCTAGTTTTGCTAGAATTTTCTTGCTGCATCTCTCATTCTGGATGACGATAGCATATAAAATGTGATGGTTTCAACATTAAACAATATACATGCTCGCTTAGCACAAAAAAAGACGGAGCGATCAGACACCATCTACCATTCCCAGTGTGAAAAGGAACATTACCCAAGCTGCTAATTTCCTAAAATGAGAAAGGAATGGTCCCACTGGATCCCAACTTTATACATTTACATTTCTGTATACCTTTCGGGCAACACATTGCCTTGTTCAAACAAAACACATCCATTACTAGTTTCACAGGGAGGCGTATAAAATTGACCGAATTGCTCTAGAAGGATACAATAATATTCGACATACCTACTGTAAATCGACAAAGGCTCACCACAGAAAAATAGAAAATAACTCCGATATGGATGTTTCCTCGTCCTATATTTGTCCTGATCCCTGACGACCGCGACTTAGATAAACAACCAATGTTGTTACTTCTAAGCTTCTTGAATGACCATGTTAATTCACTTTACTCGTGAAACAGGAGAATCTTAATATTGCCGCAAATCAATGGGCCGAATGGCCTAACTCTGCTCCTTTATCTTATGGCCTGATGGTCTTAAAATCGTGCAAAAGCGAAGGCAATGTTAGCATTTTACTGAAAATGCACACCACCACAGTCAGACAACCATAACAGAGATGGCGATTAGCAGCAACAAAATTCAATCATCCACCTACAAACTGAGGGAAACATCTACCATATTTGAGGGAACTGAATGTGACAGTGGCGCTGAAAAGAAAACAGGGCGCTATTTCACTACCTTGACAACCTGACATCAAAGGCGTGCCGACCCTGACCTTTTTTTTCTTTATATTGTTTTTGCCAACATAGTCATCTAAATGATCGGGTAAAACGTACAAGCAGTGGCAGCTCATTCAAGCTAACCGAGCGGCCATCGAACATAATCGCTGCATCACTGCTCAGAGCCACAGGAATGGACTGGAAGTTGCCAGCCTGGCTCACCCCACTGGTGCATAACATGTTTACCCTGCCCTGGTACAAAGCGCCTGCCCCGCCGAGCTACAGAGACACGGGGTGGTCACCGGGATTCACAACACAATATTGATCAATCTGCGGCACCGTTCCGCGACTGGACAACGTCAAAATCCTTCGTGAATACTCCGTCCATTTGCATTCTATCAAAAAAGAGAGGTTTTTTTCCCCATTTTTTTCCTCTGGCTTTCCTTACAGTTTGTGAAGCAACGTATGTCGAACAGGGCGTCGGTCAGCGCTGGCTGTTCAGAAAAGGGGGCCAGCAGACTGCAGCTGTCGCCATGTTTGATGGCTTCCCCATTTCAATCGCACCGTCTCGCTGCAAGGTCTCCGCCCAGTTTTAACCCAGCATCGGCTCAGCACCTTCCCCATCGCAGCACCCGCCTCGAATCACCTACCATCACCCCAAAAACCCTCATCATCACCACCACCATTCAGACACACACTCCCCAAAATACTAACACAACCATCCCCTCCAGAACTCCCACAACCAAACCTTCGTCCCTAATAACTTAAAAGCTGATTTACGTCCGCCTGATATTACACTGGAACATTCCAGGTACATAATTTTGGTAATGAAATTATTCAAATACATTCGTGTGCATGACGCCATTTGGTGAAAATCTGAGCTATTTGTTTTTTAACTTTTGATGTAATTTTGAATATGTCATGACCAAGTACAGTACCATATTAATTAATATCCTATCCTCTTTAATGCGGCATGTCTGCTAAACTACATAAATTTAAACTGTTAAATCTAACTCAAATTCTATTTAGCATTTTGTACAAGTTAATATTCGAAATTGTTTCTTATACTGTCTATCGTGGCGTTAAAAGTAGTTATTGTTCATTTACCTTATTTAGCTAGGTCGATTGTTGTTTCCCACAGCTCTGCAGAAAAGTTGTTCAAGTTTACAAAATCAAAAGGATAAGAATAAAGTGTGTTTGTTTAAATAAACTGTGAAATGTATCCCTTTCAGCAAATGGTTGATACTAACTGCTTAACTCATTAAAAGTATACAATTTTTTGTCTCAGTATTTTCACTTTCTTAATTAATAAGACACAATATAACTGGTTATTGCCATTACGATTTCATCTGACTGTTTTAAACCAATTATTGTCGGTCTTCCCAATGTAAAATAAACGGAGAGAAGACAGAAGTTATGTGCTTGCTTTTAGTTTTGTGTAAAACAAAAATAAGATCAATTGTTCCATCAGTTACCTAACTCCTTTAAAAACGCAAACCACTTTATATTGCTTCATTGCTGAACAAGCCCAGAAAGATGCAATAAAAGTGTAACAGAAATCTCGTATGAATTTATTTTTTTAAAAAAACAGATATAAAAAACTCGTGCGGATGAGGATAATTGTCGGGTTGTTTTCCTTTAGCGATTATTTAATGACTGTGGGTCTATATTTCTACTACTGTATCTGCAAAATAGCTACAAGTTGAAATTTCCACCAGTGCTGTTACTTGGATTGTCCACAAGGGAAGCAGCGGTATTCTGAACTCATATCCAAATCATTCTCGAATAGTCTCGTTCATAACAACACCCAGTTTCATTTGGCACTGAATACTGTACTGATTTGTTTTATTGTCGAATTATAGGCATTTCCGCTTTAACTGCCTCTTTATTAAATATACTGGTGACAACGTGTTATATTATTCCCTTCCCGATTCGCAGAATTCTAATACTGATCGTCAGAAGCAAACACACCCAGACCTCATCTGCATATAAAAGAAAATTAATTTTCCTTAATAAATGCCTGGTCTTCCTCGGTCAATTGTCACCTTCAATGGACTCACCATACTTCCCAATGTGTTTCTTCACGGAATTTACTGTCGCCGGTGAGCTTCGGGTCTGCAATCTGTTTAAATTGTTGTTATGTGCCTATTTAATTTGTAAATCTGCCGTCTTTCGCAAAGATGTACTGTCAGATTCATGTAGTCGGCGATTGCATTTCATGCCGGTCTCTTCTTTAACATCCCGATCGCTTCCGGTCATTCATTCCCGGGTAACAATGACGCGGGATCCTCTGAGCTTTACACGCATCTCGTCCAACAGTCGTGAAGGAAATCTGCGTGTGATCTCCATGTCAACTCGACTGAAACCTGCTTCATAAAATCCCTTATTGGCCCAAAAGACTGGAGGAGGATTGTTGAGTTACGTCCCAGCGACATACGTCCGAAACATTTGGAACAGGTTTGACCGTGTTCTGCTGTGGATTATTATGGTGGCGGCGGTGCTGGTCCTGATGCTGACGCCTCTTGGTGATGGTGAAGTAAAATCAGGATATATTCCAAAGGAATTACACGAATGCGCCGATCGCACTCTGACCAGACATAATTAATCTTTGAACAAACATTGCAAGTTCAGGTCCCGATATTTGTTTCAGGAAGAATACCCCTCCCACTTTTTGTTGTCCTAAATCTAAAAAGAAAACTGGTGTTGTCTCCTCCTTGAGGCATTACTTCTAAAGATAGGTAAGCCCAAGGGAAGCTGTGGAAAAATAAAAGCTACCTGACTGTGAGCCAGACAATGAGTAACAGAAAATAAATAGAATCAAAACACTTATGGCAATCCCCATCATTTGATGCTGACAATAACTTTTCAAAGGGCACCATTTTCCCACCCTTGATTGGTGAGAAGGGGAAGTGGCAGGGCAAATTTTCTCAGGAGAGAAATTCACTTCAATCTTGCCACTTTACCAGTTAAGTTCTGAATGGGAACATCTATGGACAACTTTCTTGACCTGTCACAAATTAAAGCCCTTAAGTGATCAATGAGTGGCTACTTCAGATCCACAACTCGCCACCTTCCCATCACCAGCCTCCCGGGTGGATGGGAAAGCTTCCTGACTGGGAAATCAGGATGACCTGCTGTTCGGTTATGAGTGAAGTCTCAAATTACCCCCCAGTCTTGGTGCAATGAGAGGCATGGATGGGAGGCAAGAGGAAGGGCTCTGAAAGCCACCCTCTGTCCCATCCTTGCTTCCAGGCCACCTTGTCCCATCACACTCAACCCACGTGAAGAGTATGAGTTCTGAGGAAGGGTCACCGGACCCGAAATGTTAACTCTGTTTTTTCCTTCACAGATGCTGCTCGACCTGCTGAGCTTTTCCAGCAACTTTGTTTTTGTTCCTGATTTACAGCATCCGCAGTTCTTTCAAGTTTGTTTTAAGAGTATAAGAAGTACTTAAGCTAAAACAAAGAACTGCAATTGCTGAAAATCTGAAATAAAATCAGAAATTGCTGGAGAAATTCAGCAGGTCTGGCAGCATCTGTGGAGAGACAAACTGAGTTAACGTTTCGAGTCAAGTGACCCTCCTTCAGTTTGATTTCCCAAAGACTAATTATGTCTTCTTTGGGTAATACCTCATCTGTTACCAACTTTCACGGAAATCAGCTCATCAGTTTTGAGATGTTTTATTTACAGGCAAACAGACTAAATGATGCAAAAACATTACCTCCATCCACCTGCGGTGACAGAAGTAATAAACTCTGGATTTAAAAGAGTTTTCGTAAAGGTAGATTTTCAGAAATAACTGGGACCCAATTTCCCAGAAATTCACAGATTCCCCAGTTATGAAGATGTAGGTGTCAGAAGGACCCTAGTGAATCAATGTAATCAATTTAAAGTAAATAACACTGTTGCTTAATCATCACCAACCATTGCCATTAACATCACCACCACCATTTGCCACCATAATAACGCAGTAGCATAACACCAAAACATTGTTATTGACATTGTTATAAAACACCAATGATTTTGTTTTCATATTCCTTCATTCATGGGATGAGGGCATCACTGGCCAGGCCAGCATTAATTGCCTATCCCAGAGGGCAGTTAACAGTCAACCATATTGCTGTGGGTCTGCAGTCACATGTAGTCCAGACCAGGTGAGGATGGCAGTTTCCTTTCCTAAAAGACATTAGCAAACCAGATGGGTTTTCAAACAATTGACAATGGATTCATGGTCATCATTAAACTCCTAATTCCAAAATATTATTGAATTCAAATTCCATCATCTGCCATGGTGTGATTCAAACCCAGGATCCCAGAACATTACCTGGGTCTCTATCTTAACAGTCCAGCCATAATACCACTAGGCTGTCCCCTTCCCTCATGCAACTTTTGTTTGTCATTTATATAAATGATTTGGATGAGAATATAGAAGGCAGAGTTAGTATGTTTGCGGACAACACCAAAATTGGTGGCAGAGTAGACAGTGAAGAAGGTTTTCTAAAATTACAAAGGAATCTTGATCAAAGGGTCAATGGGCTGAAAATGGCAGATGGTGTTCAATCTGGATAAATGCGTGGTATTGCATTTTGGTACAACAAACATGGGTAAGACTTATGTAATTAATGGTAGGGCTTTGGGTAATGTTGTAGAACAGATGGACCGAAGGGTTCAGATACATAATTCTTTGAGGTTTGCATCACATGTAGACAGGGCGGTTACAAAGGTGTTTAGCACGCTTCTCTTCATTGCTCAGTCCTTTAAGTATAGGGGTTGGAAAGTCATGTTGAGGTTGTACAGGACATTGGTGAGACCTCTTCTGGAGTACTGTGTCTAGTTCTGGTCGCCAAGTTATAAGAAGAATATTAAAAACCAAAAGAACTGCGGATGCTGTAAATCAGGAACAAAAACAAAGTTGCTGGACAAACTCAACAGGTCTGCCAGCATCTGTGAAGGAGAAAACAGAGTTAACGTTTTGGGTCCGGTGACCCTTCCTCAGAACTGATGGTGGCTGGGAAAACATCAGTTTAAATGCAGAAAATAGGGAGGTGGGTGGGTAGCGAGTAAACGATAGGATAGAGCCCAAAGAGAGAGAAAGACGGTTGGACAGACAAAGGAGTTGCTAACGATCAGGCTCGGAGGATGAATAGTTGTTAATGGGGACTGTTAATGACTAACTAATCTGTGTCCTTCACCGATGCTGCCAGACCTGCTGAGCTTCTCCAGCAACTTTGTATAAGAAGGATATTATTAGGCCGGAGAGTGTTCTGAAGAAATTTACCAGAATGTTGCTGGGTATGGAAAGTTTGAGTTATAAAGAAAGGCTCTTTAGGCTGGGACCTTTTTTCACTGCAGTGTAGGAAGTTGAGACGTGACCATATAGAAGTGTATAAAATCATGAAGGTATAGATAGGAACAAAAACAGAAGTTGCTGGAACAGTTCAGCAGGTCTGGCAGCATCTATGAAGATAAAATCAGGGTTAATGTTTCGGGTGCAGCAACGCTTCGTCAGAACTGATGG